GGCTTGCACCTGGCACGGGCACCGTAGCCAGCCCATGCCCCTTTAAGAGGTCCGGGGCCGGGAGGGGGACATAGAGTTTCCCTGGTGTTGGCCAGAGTGGCCACCAGGTAAACCTGGGGAGGGCTAGCCTCCCACTAGTTCGAATTAAGGGGCTACACACCCCTTAATTCGAACTAGTAAGTTCGAACGACGCTTAGTCCTCGTTAAATGAGGTTTACCTAGTTCGAACTAAGCGCTCCGCTAGTTCGAATTAAGTTCGAACTAGCGGAGCACTAGTGTAGCACCTATGAAAGTTAATTCGAACTAACGTCTGTTAGTTCGAATTAACTTTGTAGTGTAGACATACCCAGAGGCTATAAAGTGGATATCTATGGATTTGCATGTCTCTATTTATTTACACCTGCAACCTGTATTGCATCAGGCTTACCAGAAATTCTAGGGAATTCAAAGGTGGAATAAAAACATCTTTCCCCCATCTCCAATTTTGTGTGGTGTACACCTCAATCAGACCTGTGAATCTGGACTCCAGAGTTTACGGTTGTGGGGTATGGGATTATTGGTGAGTATTAATGGAAAGTCACTATTCAAGTAATTTCAATTATTATGCCTTTTTTCAGTTATTGGAGTGCTTGGACTTATCCATGCCCTTTAAATGTTGTACAATCAACATTCTGAGTAGGTAAATAAAGTGTACATTTAAATTACAGGTAGAATAAATCAGTTATATCTGTCTCATAATCATCACCACAATCTGAATTATAGATCTGTCTAATACTGTGACCATAAAATTTCACCCACAAAATTAGACCCCCCCCGGTGTCTCCTCTTCCCTCGGTACAATGAAGGAGGATTCAATATCAATTCCTGTTGGAATTAACAAGCATTATACATATATGTCCCAACTCTGCAAACAAATAATGCACATAATGTATTCAGTGGGACTACTCAGATATTGAAGTGTTATAGAATCAGTGTCTTTAACCTCTCATGAATCAAAGGGAGTCTACAGCCCCCAAATATATTTCTTATGGGAGAAATTGTGACTTTTAGAAAAAGCATTTCAAAATGGTGGCACGTGTCTTTTCCCATCATATATACTATAGGAGGGGGAGGGGTAGTTTCTAATCTGTAGTCCACAACTGGGGTGGGGTGACAGAATTAGAGATAGGTGTGTCTGTAGTTTAGCAGTAAACTACCCATAAATCAAACTTATTTTATTAAGATTTCATTATTTTATGATGAAAAGTGTGCAGAATATTTCCAAATATTACTAAACATAGCACAAGAAATGTGCAATGATTTAGGTATTCAACTGTCATGGTCAAAGTTTAAAAGTATCAGGGTTGTTATATGAAAAGCATTTTGAAATGTTGTACACTGATAAAATTCAGATTAACTTGTTAGAACAATGAGAAATTTGTCATTTCCGTTATCACTTAAATGTATATTGATTCTACATTGCTTAATGACTGAAGCCCAAGGCACTTACTAAATACTAACTGTCCAGGGCATGCTGATGATTAATCCCAGTTGGCTATAACTTCCTCAGGAAATGCAGAGAAGTATAGTTGTTATTCTTATTTCATACTGATTATTTAAATATCATTTGCCATTTTGCAGCAGTGCCATTGTTTTTTCAAAGATGATTTCTTTGAATAGCACTAGGGCTGCTGCAGGCATTTTTAAGAATACAAAGCTTAAGTGCCAATCACGACTTCTGTTTAGCACAGAATATTTTGCTTAAATACCACATTGTTGTGTAGGGGATACACTTATATAAAATATGTATTTTCTGAGTGTGAGTGAATAATAGAATGTTAAACATGAGTTTTGTTTTCATTTATATGATTTTATTTATTATTGTGTAAAACAATAGCATAATTGGTAGGTGTATGGCAACTAATCCTATATAAAGATCAGTTCCCAATTTTATTATCTCCTATTTAGAATTAATTTTGTCAGCTCCAGGGCCCAATCCTGCATTCTGCACAAAGGCAAAACTCCAAGTTAAACCAAAGGCAGCTTTTCATTAGAAGGGATTGCAGACCTATGCCCCTAGTCATGTTATACAAAAATAAATTTCATTTTGTGCCAGCATTAATTAGAATATTTTATGTTACTGATGATATTTTGTATAATTAATTAATTAACAGTGATATTATATAAGATTTGAAACCACGCTAGGGATTTAACTCACATATATTGAAAATGTCACATCATAAAAGCTTCTGAGCAAAGGTGAATAAGAATATAGAAGACCCTCAAATCTAATGTTTTGTCCCCCCACTGGCCTTATTAATTTAATAATGTTTCTGATATTAGGGGCTTGTCTGCAAAGAAAAATTCTTGATTGATAATTGAGCTAATGGTCGCAAAATGAGTCTGCCTGGGGCACTGGAAGGATAATTCTGCACCAAAAGAAGCAGAGTCATTTGCATGCTGTCCTCTGATGGTTTCCTAAAAGAATAACACATTCCAAGCGAGCAACCACAGGGATGTTTCTGAGAACATCAGGAAGTCTTTTTGTTACAATTTATTATTATTTATCACCTAAAGTGCCGATGTGTTCCAACAAAAAATGGAGACACAATCCCTCCCGTGAAGAGTATACGGTTTACAAAAACAAGGCAGATGCTCCCCATTAGAGTGTTTCTTTCCATTACATTGATTTGTGTATGTATTTGTTTGAATTGACTTGAGCTTTCATGATGGAATGAAATGGCTATTGTTTGGTTGAATATTATATATAAAAGCAATATAATCTGGAGTTAAATGGTTGTTTTGGGGGCTAGGGAGGAAATGTGGTGACAGAAATGTAGGATACAACCTCTGGAATACTTCATCAAGGGTGGCAGAAGGAAGCAGTATGATTTCGGATAAGAGTTTGCCATGGAAATCTTAGATGCCATGACTTTCAGAGATTTCCATAATATTTTCTAGTGCAGCTTCCGCCCCGGGCCAGCACGGCTGGAGCTGGCAGACAGTGGGAACCTAGAGCACTATGGGCAATGCTGGCCTAGCACTGTCCGCTGCTCTGTGGGACATATGGGGAGTTTCCCATCTCCCCACAGTGGAGTTCAGTCTGTTATTCCCTGCAGAGGCTAACAAGTTTAAGTCATACTTCATCAGGCCTCCCTCCCCCATTATTTTTAGTAAAGGCTATTGTTGCCATTTTTTAAATCTTTAACCACTTCTCCCAAAGTTGAACTTACAATTAGGGTAACAATGAGTAGTCCTGTAGCACCTTAGAGGCTAACAAATATAACAAATATCATGAGCTTCCATGGGCAAAAACTACTTCCTCAGCCAAGTGGAGAAAAAGAGTGAGTAACATAGCTACCCCTCTGAGACTTATCATTAGGGTAAATTTATAGGCTCAATTATTATAACCTTCCTTAGTGCACGCTCACATAAGCAGCCATAATTTAGCCCTTTTTTATTTGGGTAAATGTGTTGAGATATATTGCTTTAAATGAATTGAATTTTCACTTGATGGGGGGGAAAGAGGAAGTGTATTCTTAAGGAGTGTTGAGGGAGCTATCTTTCCAGGACAATGGTTCTCTGTTTGTTTTATATTGGTACAGTGCTAGCAAATGAAGCTTAGGACTCTTCTCAGTACCATTATGTAAAGAATTAATGAGATCTTAATCCAATAAAGCATATGCATCATTAATTCATTGTTTTGTAAAAATGTTCAGTGAAATATTTTATTGGGGGAAGGAGGGAAAGTCTGTGGAATTTCCTTTTCTTATATAGTCCCATCTATTAGTTACACCTTATCTTCAGCAATCAGTATTGATAGTCTGGCACTAATCAGATAAATTGTCTCTCCACACACAGATTAGAAATCAACCATCCTTTCCCACTCATTCACAATAAATTTTACCAATGTGTTTTCAAAGTGCTCATTAACTATCTGTCTGTTTTCCAGCATTAGCTGTGATTTTCCCACACTTTGTCCACAAGACATTTTCTTTTGTAGGTTTGTTTTTGTTTCTGTTTAGGCATTTATGGTTATAAATGTTATCACATAAACAGACTGATGCTTCTAGAAAAAGTACAATTAAAGGCTATATTTAAGGAAGCAGAAAAACAGAAAAGCAAGATTAAAGTAAATATATACTGCAGGGTTCAAAAAACCTGTGGCAGATATATCAAATCAAGTGGAAAATGATCATAAAAATTGTTAGTAGAAATCAATAGTCAGATTACAAGTAATAAACATTTTCACATAGGACTGAAACTTCCAGAAAAAAATGCAGTTGAAGACTAGACAATTGTTAGTAGAAATCAGTAGACAGATGGTCATTTTATAGGTAAATAAAGATAAAAGGATAAATGGAGATAAAAGGAGGTGGCTAAATAGAGATATAATAAGTAGAACTACAAAATAATGTATGGTGAGAGTCAGAAATCAATTTAACCCAACGGATTGAAAAATTATAATTTTCCTTATTTATGTGTTTGCTTCCTTCGGGTACAATATTTTCCCACACTAGTTCAAAGAAGCCTTCTATCACAGTGCTCTCTTGTTTTCCTTTTCTGTTGTTTGAGTCGATAAGTTTCTCAAATGGCACCCTCACTTTAAGGTTAGTTTTCTTCATCCAGTTTTTCCTTTCACTTTGGTTCTTCATTTTGTATCCTCCTAGAAACATCCTATCCCAGTCACATTTGTGTGAATATTTTGTCAGGAGACTCTATGCCATTAAATCAGGGATGGGAAATTAGCATCCTGCAGGCTGGATGCAGTTTGCCAGCATTAGCCCCGACAGGCTACTGGCACTTTATTTACCTGCACATCTGCAGGTATAGCTGCACGCAGCTCTCATTTATCATGGATTGCCTTTCCTTACCAATGGGAGCTGCAGGAAGCAACACAATTCAGGACACCCCTTATTGCCCACGTGTGTATTAAAGATAGTTCTGTGGCTTGGAACACTTCTTTATTACAAGACCCTAGTGATGTTGTCTAAAGCAGATGCATTCATGTATTTCTTCAGGTCTCAGCATTTTCTACATGGGAAAAAGAATTACATAAAATAGTATTTGATCCACGTTACCTTCTGCTAAACTCTGAGGAACGTAAACAGGTGAGTTCAAAAGAGAATTAATAATGTATGTTATCAGTCTATCGAGTATCTTATTGGTGATACTTACCATTGTAATCGTAACCTTCCTTCCTCTCTTCTTCTCTAGAAAGTAGGATTTAAAATGTTAACTACAGTTAAGGATTTTTTTTTTAATATTTGTGAAATGAGATTGAGTCTAGGTGCCGCTCTTGTGAAATTCCTATCACCTGATTTCACAAGTCTCTATGTTGGGCAACCCATAGAACACAGCTGTCAGGGCCAACCCCCAAAACAGCTCTGAAAATCAGGGAGGGAGGACATCAAGGGGCTATTTCTATAATGATTTGTGTTACTTTAGCAGATGAAATGATGCTCTTTGTATCCGCTAAAACTTTTTCAGAGTACTTGTTTTTTTTTTCATTGATATAAATTCCAGTAGTCAACCCTGAAGTTAATGGATGAATGGTATCATAATGTGTTGGTCTGTGTCCAATAGAATGAACACAGGTTTCTGGCAAGCTGTGAATAGAAGTGGATTTTATTGTGATCATGATTATTTGGGTATCCAGTACCACTGATGGTTCAAAAAGACTTCAAAGCCCAACCAGCCTAACAAACTTTTGAGGGCAAATGCCCTATATAATAAGAATGTTATGAAGAAGTTCCATTCATCAAAATGCTTCCATCTTATTATTTCTGTCACCTCGAGTTTCTCTCTCAATCAGTTTCTTTCTCAATCAGCTCTCATCATTCAGGAGCTTCAAGAACCCGGGGAATGGTTATGTTAACTTAGATATAAAACAGATATAGAATCAGGTCTTGTCCTTGTCCTTGTTCATGCTTCCACCCATATATTGTCTCCACAGTTCCCCTAAATGACTTCATATAGTTATTGAATGGGATGATGAAGAGGACTGAACTTTGTGGGGCTCTATAGGTGAGGCCTTGAAAGTGGAGGAACAGTTGCCTGTGATGCAGAGTACAAAAGGAAAGTTCCTTAAGGAAACACATACAGTAATACTCTTCTGTCCTTAATATTAAAAATATATTAACATACCCTTTCCATGTAAACCCTTTCCAAATTTTATTTTTCTTTATACGTTTTATAAAATTTGATTATGAAAATGAGAGAAATATTTAGAATAGAAGCTTAGTAATGGACCAAGAAGACAGTGATACATAGCAAGCAGGCTTTGTATTTCCTTCAGTGATTCAACAAGGACACAATGTAGACATTGCTCAATCTTATTGCTTCTTTCTTTTTATCAAGTGCATGTGTGATACACATGAGAAATTCATTTATAGGCGTTAGCTTGAAGTCTTGCTGACATGAGCCTCATTTATGGGATATATTAAATACTGAAGGAAAATCATTGTGAAGAACAAAAGACTATATAGATACAATCATAACTATATTACAAAAAGGAGTATAACTATATAGAGAAGATCAAAGTCATGCTAATGCTGCTACTGAGACAAAATAATTCAAGCTTAAAATCAATGTAGAAGTGGAATATAATTAGATACTGTGTAAAAAACATGGAGAAGGTAAAGAGAGAGTGCCCTGGATTTTCTGAGCCAGCAAAGATATGAGACAGTCTGGAACTATTTTTAAATGTGCATATGCTAAAAATTAATCCATGCATTTTTTGAGAACTGTTACGAAAATAGTTCACAGTAAGTAAAGATTAATCAAAATAGAGGTTTCTAATTTAGATGATTTGCTGGGTAGACATATTGAACTGTGAGCCAGGTGCCATGGGTCTAACATATTTAGTAGGTGGCATCTGCATACTGAAATTATAGATACTTAAATAGTGTGACCACAGACTGGAAGCAATTACACTTATTTATCTATTATTCTCTTTTATTCCTGAAAAAGAGGGTGGCCTTGGATAATATTAAATGACTGACGTAATGAATCATTATATATTCGTTTCAATATAGCTAACATTGGTAAAAGAAATAATCACCCTTTTGTTATCAGATTCATCAAAAAATTTGCCTGTACTGATGCAGATTCCAAGGCTGTATTTCAAGTAAAACTATCAGGATTGGGGGGTTGGAGGGAAAAAAATAACCTGTGCTGTAAATCAGTAAGTTTTGGCATGAAGGGATGCATGCCCATGCAGTTTTGGAGTTATCTGAATTAATTCATGTTTTGTGGACTCTGTGGTGAGTTTTTTGAAGACCACATCAAAAATTAAATATAGGATTCATACCTAGGTGATGGCTTTTTATACAATCAATAATTGATGCTGCTTCCATCTTTTGGTCTCAGACAAACAGGAAGCTTGAAAAGTGTAGGTTAATTGCACCCACAAACAGAAAGAGCATGAACCCTGATTTGATCTTTCTCTTGTATTAATTTGATCATGATGCAAACTGTGGTTGTTGTTGTGGTTGTTTTTTTTAATGTTTGTGTGTAGTTTTCTCGGTGCTGTTTGGGGAATGCAATGATCTTTTATGTAATACTACATGTTTGCTCTGTTTACTTAGCAGTATTTCCCAAGGGGTTTTTACCACCCAGTAGAAAATGGCATCACACATTAGACTCCAGTGAAATAGACTATGGCAAGAAATAGTGATATGTGAAGGAGATATTGTATTAGAAAATGAAGTGATCTATTAATTTTTATTAAGATTATCAAGTGTTGTCATTTTGGGACTCCTTTTCTGTAATACTAACAAAGAGACTGCTTATTAATTGGAATTCTCTGTAGATAAAGGGAGAAAGGAGCGATCGAACACATTATTTATTGTATTTTTCCTTTATTTAGTTGAGCTTTGGACAAAAATAATCACTGTGTAAGCAGTATAATGAGAATTCCTTCTATTGGAACCCCAAGAGGCGAACTATATATTCTCTGACAAGCTCTTTCATACACCAATACTTCTAGAAAACAATTATGATTGCTAGCCAAGCACTATTTCAGTGAATAGAACTAAATGATAATGACTTTACCAATACTGAAGGTGAATGCATGGTGATAGCACTAGTAATGGCAACATCAACTGATTTTATGTTTCATTTGTTTCTATCACATATTTACTTACCCAACTTGTAAGAACACTTGCAATAATTTCATCTGCTTTTTTTACTTGTTTCCTGATCCCACTTACTTTATCCGACTTTTGAGTGTAAACTTTACCAGAGGCATTTCTTCCCTTAACTGTGCATCAAGTAAAAATCCATGTTACTGTGTATCAGTACTTTTTTTACTTGCTTTTTTTACTTTTTTTACTGATCCCACTTACTTTATCCGCCTTTTGAGTGTAAACTTTACCAGAAGCATTTCTTCCCTTAACTGTGCATCAGGTAAAAATCCATGTTACTGTGTATCAGTTTCATAAAATAGAGTGAAAAATCATTCAGTTTATCTTGCATGAAATGTAGATTTGCATATGGATTTTTACCTGAACTGAATGATTTTTCACTCTATCTTGCATGAAATGTAGATTTGCATATATGCATCATTCATGAGTGAATGAAAAGTCCCTAGTACCCAGAGGGTGTTTGTGTACTTTTTACAGTGCAAACAAGAAATTGGCAGATAAAGAGAACTAAGAGCCTTTTGACAAACAGCTGCTTTTGTTCCACCATTGGAGTGTTAAACAATTGTAAATTATTCGTAAGCAAAGTATTAATTTCTATTCTGTGCCTATGTAGCTTTTTCTTTGGTAGGAAAATTCACATAGATATTTAGATGCTTAAAGAAGCAGATTGGCATCTTGAGAGATTTATTACAGTATGTAGGTGCCTGATTTCACATAGACATTATTGGCTTCATATACATAGGTACAGTGTATCACATGGAATCCAGCCGAGGTGAAGGACCATTCAATCTTCCTTTATGTAACTTCCATGAAATTGCTATCTGAGCATCAGAGACAGTTTCACAGTTGGGAGTTCAGGCAAGATGCATATTTCAAACCAAATAAATATAATGTGGATCTTATGAATGTTTAGCTGTGAGCATGATTAGGAATCTACATGTATGATAAGAAGTTCTGATTAAGATTGAACTTTGTGTTAGGATCTAGAAACAACGGCCAAAATTGACATCTCCAACCTATGATGTAGCTAAAGCACTGCAGTTCTCAAAGGCTGCCTGTAACCCTTTGATTTACCATGTATACCACAATGTGCTTGTTAATAAATCCTTCTACATTTGTTTCTTTTAAAAAAAGATATTTGAGCAGTTTGTCAAGACCAGAATAAGAGATGAGTACAAGGAAAAGAAAAATAAATTATTGCTAGCCAAAGAAGAATTTAAAAAACTTCTGGAGGAATCCAAACTGTCACCAAGGTATGGAGCTATTTTGTGAAGCAATTGATATTTGTTGTCTCTTATTAATCAAAACAAAAAATGGAGAAGAAACCATGTACATTAGGTTATGATTGTTCTCCTTGACATCCAGTAAAACTTCCAAGTCAAGTTTTGTAGAAAAAAATCTGACATTACAAATGGAGATCTTTGGGTAGGATAAAATTAAATTATCCTGTTTTACTGTTGCACTAAAAATTAATGTCATTGTATGCTTTCTTCCTCAATAATAGTTTGCAGTATCGTGTGACATTCCTGGAACTGGAAAGTATATAAAAAGTGTGATAAAAATAACAAGCATACAAGTGTCTTTAACCTTGTGACATTCCTGGAAACAGAAAGTATATCAAAAGTGTGGTAAAAATAACAAGCATACAAGTGTCTTTAATGCAAAATTACAAAGTATTTTCTATTTGTGTGGTTTTTGACAAAAAATAAATTACACTTTTTAAAGAATTATGATTAATGCCATGCCTGTATGTGTCAATGACATTTTAAGTAGCTATTGCTTGTGTTTCCAAAGATATTTAGGGTCAAGAATTGTATCTAAGAAATTACATTCTTATGATATTGCTTTTTTAAGGTAAATTATGCAGATATATACATTTTCTCTTTTTTGTTTATGACTCTGGTAAATCATTAAAATAAAGATGAAATTATAGTTCTTTTACTAAAATGGAAGATAATTTTGTGGCACTGTGTGTCCACATATCAAGAAGTGAACAACATTTAATCAAATTGTATTGAAGTAATAATTAAAAGTATCTTTTTGACAGCGGAACTAAGAATACTCCAGGCCAATCTAATAGCTAATAATTGGCTCAAGCAATTGTGTTTTTATTTTCAAGAATAAAATCATTCTGTGTGTACTTGTAATATTCATGGCCTACAAGAGTACAGAGGATTTTGCACTTTCTGGGTTTGCCCAATTCAGCTGGAATACCCAGACTTTAGTAATATTCTCACCTTTTAAATAATCCTGGATCAGTCTCTAGTATTATCAAATAAAGAACAAGTAATTTCCAAGTTGACCATTACAAATCTGCGTACTATATAACAACATGTAGTTAATGACAAATCATCAAACATTCATATGGGAATGGACAGTAATTAAAATAAAGAAGCAGTCAGCAAGCCAGCCCAATGTTGAAAAATAAATCTAATGGAATGCAAAAGTAAGCAGCCACAAGTATTGCCACAGTAAATTCAGAGAAGCACACAGCAAACCAATCTCCAGAATTCCCAAAATTCATTCTAGAGATGATCCCAAACTATCTTTAGATATAAATCCCCCTGTACTTTGGAGTTAGGTTCTGGATCTAAAGGTCATAACGGTCTACAATTTCATGTATATAAGTTTGCAACTGTGTATCTACGAAGTACTTGGATGTTAAGACAAAAATCCAGAATTTATTTCAATGAAACTTGTATGAAGATTAGATTATTTTGTTTAGTAACAGTTAGCTGAAGATCATACAGCACTTCAAAGTAGTGTAAGTACAATCCAAATTGTACATATGGGGAAACTGAGGCACTGAGCAGATAAATGAATTTGTGCAAGATCACACAAGTTAATGGCAGACCTGCAGAGCAATCTCAGTACTGCTTTTGGGTCCATCTCCAGTTCACAGAACATGCTTTTTATCAGCTCCTACATATTATTATTACTTTTCTCCACTATTCCCATTACATCTGTATTTTTCCATAACTTTTCAAAATCATTTGAGAGTAACCTTAAAAACAACAACAACCTTGGATTCTAAGGGAAATATCAAATTGGACATCCAGGAAACAGTAACTTATTAATGACCTTTGAGTGAGTCAGGATGCCAATATTTTTATTATGTTGTATTAAAAGACCTGGTAGAACCACGTATCCTGGCTGCCGGCTTAGTCTAAGAGCCAGACCATGGGTGGGGGAGGCTGCAGGGCCACCCAGTGGCCAGCAGCTGCTCCCTGGGACAGGCCAGGGTGGTGGGTGCTGCCAGCCAGAGGCTTTAGGCTGGGCCTTTCTATTTCCTGTGGTCATTCCATAGTATAGTTCCAGACCCTTCCCTTTTCAATTCCATGAGAAACAATCCAGTTCCAGGCACATCCCTCTGTCTTGTCACCACCAAACCCTGACCTTACTTTAGGTTAACGTAAGAGGAAGCTGCATAATAAATTTGGTGGTCCCAGCTCTTATCATTTAGTAGTTCTTGAACAGATAGACAGATGCACATTTCTAAAATATACTGATAGAAGATAATTAATTAAACATAATTCCTGACTTTGCTATTGGTGATTTCTGAAGAGAAACTTACTGGCATATCATATGACTATGTTTAGCCAAATGCTTATTTACCCAAGTACTTCCCATGCTCAGCACCATGATATCTGAGTACAAACATAAGCCAGCATCTTTACTCTCATAGGGCATGTCTAGACTACATGGCTCCATCAACGGAGCCATGTAAACTAGTTTACCTAGCATAGGCAAAGAAGCAAGGATTTAAATAATCGCTGCTTCATTAAAATAAACATGGCCACTGTGCTCTGCCAACGATCAGCTGGTCCAGCACAGTGTGGCAGTCTAGATGCGGATCTGTCAGCTGGGGAAGCCTTTGCCGACCGATCCTATAAACCTCATTTCATGAGGCATAAGGGATTGGTCAGCAAAGGCTTCCCTAACCGACAGATCCACGTCTAGACTGCTACGCTGTGCCGGATCAGCTTTTCATCGGCACAGCATGGCGGCCACGTTTATCTTAATGAAGTGGGGATTATTTAAATCCTTGCTTCTTTGCCTATGCCGGGTAAACTAGTTTACATAGCTCCGTTGATGGAGCCATGTAGTCTAGACATACCCAAATATAGCAATCACATTTGTAAATACCGGGCATGATCATATAGCCCTTATGCAATTTTCCTGTGACTTATTAGAAGAGATAAATCAAAGTGGTTTTTTTAGGTATCATTTACCATGTATTACTGAGAAAATGTTTTCCAATTGATTACACAGAGTAGTGTTTTCTACTATGACTTTGAATAATTATGGAAAATCTGAGAATGCCTTTGTAAAAATGATGCTCATCAACCAGTAGTATTACTAAATTAACACATTTCGGCAGCTATTATGTCCATTATTCTACATCACCAGGATAAACTAATTACTCAGCAAGCTTTTCAAAATCAATAAATATACACTATACAAAGATGAGAATAATGATTAGTGCAGGCAGGCCAAGTGGATCAAGAAGCAAAGGTGATTTTGACTTTAGCATTGCCTCTTGACTCACAGTGGTCCCACTGATGCTCTTGATAAATAGTTTCAGGAATAGGGCTAAACTTATGACGTCTGGTGCCCTGCACAGCCTGAGTACCTAGTCTCCTCATCAGTGTTCCCTCTAAGCTGAGCAGCAGCACAGATTCACAGGTGATTAATCAGCCCTGTTCAGTCAGAGGCTTGGGGATCCCTGCATGGAGCTCACTGACAGGATTGGGTCTGATTAATTACCTGTGAAGTTGTGCTGATGCTCAGTTTAGAGGGAACACTGTCCCCCATCCTCTGTCAAGGGCAGCAACTCTGCAGGGGGTGTCTGTGCTCAGGACTCTGGGTGCAGGAACAGGCAGGGAGGCTGGTGGTGAACCAGGCAGAATAGGGTGTGGTGTAGCCCACCAGAGCTGTGGGCCAGGAAGCAGAGCAGAGGGAGATTGGGGTTGCAGATGCTAGTTTGTGGAGGAGAGGCCTAGGGGACTGTGGCCACTAGAACTGGTTGAGTGATCAGAGCAGGGGGTGGAGAGCTGGGGGATTTTGCCACTGGAGTGGGGGGCAGAATGAGGGCTTGAGGGATTTGGCCACTAGGGCTAGGAGGTGGTAGGGTTGCCAGATGGTTTCAACAAAAATACCGGACACACTTGACATTATATCACAATCTACATTACATCTTATTTAGAAAATACCGGACATTTATATTTTCTCATTTATATTTTCTCAATTTGTTTCCCGAACAGAAAGCTCAAATGCTGGACTGTCCAGTTCAAAACTGGACACCTGGCAACCCTAGGAGGTGAAGCAGAGGATCAGGGGATTGAGGGTTTGGGCCACCAAGACCAGGAAGTGATTAGAGCAGGGATGGGGGAAGTAGGGTATTCAACTTCCAGTACTGGGAGGCAGAGCATGGGGCTGGTGGATTCAACTGCCAGGGTGAGGAGGAGGAGCAGGGATGAGAAAGCTGAGGGTTTGGGCTGCAATAGCCAGGAGGCGGAGGAAGGGCTGGTGGATTGGGACTCTGGGGTCGGTAGGCAGATCAAGGCAAAGGATTGGGCCACCCGGGCCAAGAAGCGATGCAGAAGCTGTGCAGGGGAGTGGGACTGGGATTTGGGGCTACTTGAGCCAGCACTGCCCTTGCATGGTGCGAGTTATATGCAGCATGGGACACTACTAAATTTGGGCACAGTTCAAGAGGAACAATCTTGGTGCTTTTACGACCAATATGAAAAGTCAGATATAAAACTAAGGAGTAAAGAATTTAATAATACATTGAAAAAGGCAAAGCTTTTAATGATCCTTTGCTCATGTATTCATTTTTTTTCTGCAGAACAACATTTAAAGAGTTTGCAGAGAAATATGGCAGAGATCAGCGGTTTCGACTTGTTCAGAAGAAAAAAGACCAAGAGCACTTTTTCAACCAGTTCATTCTTATTCTTAAAAAGAGGGACAAAGAAAACAGAATAAGGCTAAGGAAAATGAGATAAGAATTTTTGAAATCTGCAATAAACACACAAGTCAATACTGTGACTGCCATAGATAATGAAATGAAGAAACAGCATTTTTTGTCTTTTTCTGATTCAAATTCCAACAACTAAAAGAAGAACCAGATATCCCCAAGAAATACTTTTTCATACTGAAGTTCAGTGAACACAAGTTGAATTTGTTCAGGTTGCTCTGCAGCAACCTGTAGGATATTTAGTTCTCAGAGAATTAATGTTTCATATTGAAGCTCTCTTTTGTACAACATTCAGAGTTTGATGCATTTCTAATTGCCATGATATGTCAATCCCTTAATTGTTTTACTTATGCAAATTACTTGTAATATACACAAATTATAAATTCAGTGCAGATTTGTAATTAAGCAGAAAACAGATGTCATCCATTACAATCTCAAGATATGTTCATCATTTAAGGGAATTATCGAAATCTATTTTTGGCAACTTTATGCATTAACATAAATTGTTTAGAAGTACAGTGATATTGAGGAATTTATCACTCAGTGTTCATATGTCTATGTCCAGTTTTCTGAGTAGTAGTAATAGGGTATTAAATGTTAATCATAGTGAAAAGTGTGAAAATCTTGGCATAAGTTCCATAGAAAAAATTATAACTTTCAAATATAGCTTTGGAATTACTCTGACTAGTGCTTTAAGGCACACAGATTACAGCAACTCTTCCCCATAAAAGTTACTATAAAGAAGCTATAATTTAAGTAAAATTACCATATTACTATCTACTTATTTTTATTGTATTTGAAGATTTTGCATGAGAATTTTCTCATCATCTTTGTACAAATATTTTAATGTTTTTAATTAATAAATATTTTAAGGCAATTAATTTTAATTTCTGAATCTCTAGTATTAGCATTAAGAGTATTTGCTTGGAGTGCTAGTAAATGTATGAAGGACACATTGCTATTGCCCTTGATTTATATGTAAATTTTTACTAATGTCATTCGGAGTAATGAGAGCATTAAGGACAAAATAGATCCCACAATGACAATAAATTACATATGTTTTCTAATATAAATCAATATAACTCCACTGAAGTCAATAGAACTATCCCAACTTATACCAGCTGAGGAATAAACTGTCCTCTGTCTTCTTTCCATATCCTGTGCTGTTTCTGAGCTTATTTCTGTAAATACTTTGGAGTAGTCTCGATGCTCTGCAGATTTTCTGTTTTCTGCTTGAAGTTTGCAAATTTCCTCCAAATAAAGTTATGTTTTCCATAGGTGTATCTCAAATATTACTTACAAATTAAGACAATAATAAAAGAAAAGAAAATCCTCTTATTAAATTTAAATAATGATTCCCCAAAGAATTCAAAATGAAAAATGGGGTTAAATTCTAGCAAGGGAGGTTTAGATTAGACACTAGGAAAAATTTGCTAATAGTAAGGGTATTTAAGCACAGGCACAAATAACTCAGGGAAGTTATAGAATCCCCATGATTAGAGGTTTTTAAGAACAGAATAGTCAAACCTGTCAGGATTAGTGTAGTAATTATTTAAGGTGCGTCTACACTGCACTATTATTTCAAGTAACTAGCATTATTTTGAAATAACAATGCGAGTATCTACACAGCCATTCTGTTAGTTTGAAATAATTTCAAAATAATGGACTGCTTATTCCGAAATCTATAAAACTCATTTTACGAGGAATAACGCCTATTCCGAAATAGCTATTTTGAAATAAGGTGTGTGTAGCTGCTCCAGTGCTGCTATTTCAAAATAGCCCCTCACAAGGGTCATTCTAAGTTATTCCTCCCCATTGCCTTCTGGGGCTTTAAATCAAGATAGCACGTCTACATTAGGGAAGTTGGCCTCAGGCTAATTTTGAGGCTTCCCTGCAGTGAAGACATGCTATTTTGAAATAAGCTATTTTGGAATAACTATTCCAGAATACCTTATTTTGAAGTAAGCGAGCACTGTAGTTGCATCCTAAGTGTTTCCTTGGGTACAGGTGACTGAATTAGATTATTTACTGAAGCATCTTCTAGTTGAATACTTCTATACTTCTTTGTAGAATTAAAATGAAGTGTGTATTGTATAGCACTTCAAGTGACCATCTTTTAAACCAAACATGTTAATGTCTTTTGTTCTGCTTCTTAATTTATATATATATATAATCTTTGTTCATTAGTTAAAATTTCATCTTGTTCGATTACAGTAATATATCTGGTAATATATTAGAGACTAGCATAACAATGTAGCAAGCACCTAATCTTATGTCCATTTAATGGCAAAATTTCAATTTATTTTAATTAAGGCAAGAAGAAACAACAAAATTCATATTGGAAATGGAACCATGTAGTTTCATTAGTATCACTGTATTGAATAAATGCTATCATTTTATATAAAGTAAATAACTAATTTTTCAGTTATATGGCAAAACTGAAAACTTGGGAAAAAATGTTTTAGCTCAACAAAAAAACCCAAAATATTTTGGTTTTGAGGTTTTGCAGTTTCTTGAAATGTTTCAGTGAAGTTCTGAAATACAGTATCTTTCTGGGAGGAAACTGTGAAACATTTTTGAAAGGCAGAAAAGTGCTGTGTCAACATTTTTTTAAAAACTTGACAATTTGCCAGAATCAATCAAAATTAATGAATTGTTTCAATTGAATCTGCCCTTTTTTCATGAAAAAAATAGCTCACACAAAAATCAGACAGCTCTAATTTTGATGTGCATTTTGTATGCATTAAAATGACAGACTGATACTTCTCGATGAAGCGTGCTAGAGTTAAGAAGGACAGGGGGAAGCTTTTGTGTGGCCAACTATAGTAAATGACCAATGGATATACACATGTAGTTTGGTTATTATATGACATTCTGCACTCTACAAAATTTGCTTTGATGGTTATCTGGATGTCATGACGAGAACTCCACTATGTGTCTAATTATTGTAGCTCAGAGATATGTGTGACATACCTTTTTTGACAGGTGTGACGTACCTTGTTTAGACACTTCTGTAAATATGGCATGACTGTTGAATGCAGACCACTAAAAGTTAATGTTTTTTTTTCAAAAGAAGGAAGTTCTTCTAGGTTAAATGAATGGAAGACATGTTAAACTCTTTAAGGCTATGTCTAGACTACAAGCCCCTTTCAAAAGAGGGTTTTTCAAAAGAATCTTTAGAAAAAGCCTCTTTTGAAAGAGAGCGTCTAGACTGCAACCACTTCTTTCAAAAAAGTGAGCTGCTTTTTCGAAAGAGAGCACCTAGGCAGTCTGGATGCTTTCTTTTGAAAAAGCCCTGTTTGCATTCAAAAATGCCTTTTTTTCGAAAGAGCACTTTCAAGAAAGGCGCTCTTCCTCGTAAAATGAGGTTTACTGTGGTAAAAAAAAATGCCGTGTTCTTTCTATTTAATTTTGAAAGAACACGGCAGCAGTCTAGATGCAGGGAAAGTTTTTTTTAAAAAAAGGCCAATTTTTTCGAAAAAGCTCTGTAGTTTAGGCACATCCTAAGTCTCTCTCCATGAGAGAAAGCCACTCTTTCTAGTGTTTGCCTTGTGTTGCTTTACATTTTAAATATATTTGTCTCTTCAAATAAGAAGAATGACTTTACCTTTAAACCTAATCAAATGTCTTGATGTTTTTAATTAATCCCTTGCATTGTTGAAAAACCTTAATAAAATACCATTGTGCTAACTCATGCATAGTATACACAGTGAGCACCCTAAATGGTGATCTAAAACTTTAATTTTAATAATACTTTGAACAATAATAATCTAAAGGGCAAATTCTGTTCTGTTTTGCCATTCTAAATCTAGAAAAGCTCCACCAAAAATAGTGTAGTTGGTCCAGATTCAACTGACCAGAATGTGTCCTATTACAACAGAATTTAGCATACTAGGTAGTAGTAGTAAAACATGTAACAGAGGGTATGTACCTTGAGAGTTCCCTCTAAGATTATACATATTGACATATTCTTATCCAAAATCATATATAGCTACTTACTTTCTGTCACCTTGTCATGATGCTCCTAAACCTAATCTGAATTATTTAAAGAAGACATCTGCTCTCCCTATATCTTGATCTTATAGACAAGAGTTCCAAAAGTATACATTGGCTTTGTCAAAGGAGTGTGTTGTATTTCTTTCTATGCTTTCCTACACAAACAAACCACAAAAGATTTACCAGTATCAGAATTCTTCTCAAGAAATGCACAAAGCCAACTCTCAAAAATTCAGGAGAACAAAATGAAACAGAGCTAAAAATGAATATATATTAGGATACTACTGAAAGCATCAGTCTTGTGTATGCATGTACACAATATTTAAAAGAAGACTGTAATAAAGATAAAATTCAAGCTGATGGATAGTGGAATGCCATGTTTATTTTCCATATTATTCTTCTGAATGGGTTAAAACCAACAATGTTAGATGCCCAAGACATTGGTAGTCCAATTGAATGCTTCAAGTGATAAAAAGTAATAGAGAGGTAGCCGTGTTAGTCTGATCTTGCTAAAACAAAAGGAAAAACTATATAGCACTTTAAATACTAACAAGATGGTTTAATAGGTGATGAGCTTTCGTGGGCCAGACCTACTTCCTCTGATCATATTCTGGAAGAGAATTGAGCATGACCATATATACCAAAGGAATACAATGAAAAAAGTGAACACATTATTAAACTGACAAATCAGATTTAGAACTGACGGTGGGGTGAGGGGGAGGAAGGGAGGGAGGGAATATAGCTATTCTCTTCCAAAATATGATCTAAGGAAGTAGGTCTGGCCCACAAAAGCTCATCACCTATTAAACCATCTTGTTAGTCTTTAAAGTTCTTCAAGTGATAAAAGTGAATGTCAGAGATACTGCTAGGATGAAATTGTTTGGGTCAGCAATTAATGAGATGTTACATAAGTTAGAAGTCCATTTCTCTAGTAACAAATAGGCTTATATCCATCCCCATTTATGTGTAGCTGCCAGGTGAAGTGTGGATGCAGTTCAAATTGGACCACATTTTCCATGGGAATGAAAAGCCACCGGGTTCTTTGGTCTTTAATGAGGTGTGTATTGGAGACATTGCTTGCCATTGGTCTTTGAGGAAAAAACCTTAAGTCTTCCAGCTCCTATGCTACAGGTCAGAAAGGTTTTCTGGGTTTGATTCAGAATCTTGGTGTATTATTTAGGTCTTTATATTTTGGAAGACCATCTATCAGAAGAATTTATTCCCTTGATCATAGCTCAGTGTATAGGCACGTTTGCTCATCTGGATTTGAATCCTGATCTCCCTTTTGAACAGTTAGGATTGATATCCTACTGCCAACCTTGTATATATGTTCTATACATGACAGGCCATAAAGTGTTATGTGCAATTTTTCAGACATTGGGGCATTTGCCTCCAAATCATGTGCCTCAGAACATCGCCTGAGGTATATGTACAGAGTAACTCAAAACGCACAGCTAGTTCTGAATAGTTGTATGTAGATCCAGGAGCATGGCTAATGATTTTCATAGATATTTAATGCCAGAAGGGACCATTACAATAAATTTTGTTCGTGTACTATTTTTGCCATATTTGTAATTAAACGAAACGTTGATATATTTGCAACTATAATGTTTATCATTCATGCATAATATGCTAGAGAAACTTCCTTTAATAAAACTTTATAGCATAGTCTCATCTTGATTTGTGGGGCTTTTTTGAATGTCCAGAATTTTCCTATGGATTGAGATAATACAGAATATTGTGTCTCCATGAATACATTTTAAACAATGCATTTTTAATTATTTAAATTTATATTACTTAAATAAATATTAACACTCTATGGGCTTCAGGACATAGCAGATCTCATAAGCAAGGTTTTTTTCTTTCTTCTCTGTGACGTTTCAGTTTCACAACCTTTCTCTGATCTAGAATATTTCTATAAATGCTAGCATTACCACTACAACACTGGTTCTAGTCATTGCAATAAAGTGCCTAAATATGTCAAGTGTGACTGACTGATTTCACATCTAACCAATCAGATGGTGGCTCAAATGAGGGAATTTATGCAACAGTGGGCTAGCATTTGGTGCTCATATTAGTACTGTTGCTGATAGTGATAGCTTTTGATATCACAAAGTAGGGTAAGCTGCCCCCAACATAGTGAACATCAAGAAGATTCCCTATGGGAAGTCTAGCAGCTTCTTAGGCAAAAGGGGTAATAGGTTTGAGTTTCTATCCAGTGAATTCATTCACATTCCTACCAAGTCTTCAGGAAGGTGTGATTGTAACAGGGCCCAATAATCTTTCCACAGTGATAATTTCATGGCAAATTTTGGAAATTATATAAGCACCATGACTGCCAAAGCCTGACCTTGACTCATTACCAGCACATAGTGATGGCAAGGAAGAGTGGATTCAGAGCTTCAGTGATAGTCTGCTATGGGAAAGTCTCCTCTTATTTCAATGCAGTTGTAGAGTATCTGGTCCACTTTTCAGAAGGATAATTCTAGGGAACTTAGAGTTCGATAATGCTGATGCAGCTGCCCCTGTTGCAAACATTTTAGGAGATGGTTTACTTCAGAGGTGAGCAATCCGGCCTGCCAACCTGTTTGATCCAGCCCGTGGGCCAATCGAAACCTGGGG